CGAATATTCCGATGTCGGATTCCAGCGAGAACACACCGACTTTTTCTATCATCATCATCATCATCATGATGGATTGATCAATATATACACTCATTCAATTATCCTCAATGTTGACTGCCTCATACACACTCTTGTGACAGTTCTGTAGGGTCTCGGCCTGCCCGTCAAGTCCACCGGTATGATAAATGCAAAGCCCATTCGCAACTGTGATCAACAGCAACATATTCCATGTTCGCCCGTTCTGCATCCATCAATATCGGACAACCCTGTCACATCGTCATGTACGCAAACATAAAGCTCATGTCCCTACAAATTGGCAGTATGCTGGCTAACGTATCACAGAGTATCTCAACCATGTCTACTACCACTCTGCCCTTCAGTGACATTCAAGTGCAGGTCCCCGGTTTTGGGGCCATGGGCTTGAGCTCTGCCATGGGGAATGATCTCAGCTACGACCAGGCTGAGCCAGTCCTGCTCAAGGCCGTCGAGCGCGGTTGCACATTCTGGGATACTGCCGTAGGTCATTCACCGTCGGCAAGTCGACGCGATGGGAAACAATCAATCATCTGATAAGCGCCCCAGGTCGCATACAAGAACGGCGCCAACGAACAGCTTCTCGGTGACTTTGTCAAGAAGCACAATGTGCGCGACAAACTCTTTGGTGCGTCTCATTATTGCATATGCGCTTGCACCCGAACGACTGGACTAACTACTGCTGCTGGTGCGTAGTCGCATCCAAGTGCGGATTCGACGTCTTTGGCCCGCAACGCACGGTGACGAATTCGGCATCCCACATCAAGGAGTATATTGAGGGTACAATCGACAGGCTCGGCTTCACCCCTGATCTGTACTACCTGCACAGGATCGACCCGAGTACGTCCCGTTCCCATCTTGAACCCGTCTTCACAGGCCGTTAATGGCGTGATCACTTACGCTCGAATCCAGACACCCCGCTCGAGGAGTCCATCGGCGCATTGGATGAGCTCCGTCGTGCCGGCAAGACGAAGTATATCGGCCTGTCTGAGTGCTCTGCCGCGACTTTGCGCAAAGCGAATGCGACTACGTTTGCTCACCAGAATAATACGGGACAGCGCTAAACCAGGTATTGCTTTTTGCAGTTGCGAAGATTGATGCCATCCAAGCTGAGTACTCGGCTTTCGAGACTATCCATGAGACAAACGGCCTCATCGAGACTGCTAAGGAGCTTGGCGTTGCTTTTGTGGCATTCAGCCCCCTCGGACACGGCTGGCTTGTTGATGACTTCCCTTTTAAGTCTCCCGACGACTTTGGCCCAACCGATTTCCGACGCACCGGTAAGCGCCCTCAAAACGCAGCTAGTTAATGCGTCTGTATACTAACACTACTTGTTCGAATGCCGCAGTGCCCAAGTTCCAGGGCGACAACTTCTACCGCAATAAGGCCATTGTCGACGAGATCAAGAAGCTGGCCACGGTCAAGGGATGTACGGTGGCTCAGATTGCACTGGCCTGGGTCGCCGCCCAAGGCCTCATCGCCATCCCCGGCACGACCAAGGCCTCTCGCTTGGATGAGAACTGGGATTCGCGCAAGGTTGTCCTTACTAAGGACGAACTGAAGGAGATGCGTCGCATCGTTGATGAGGCCAAGCCGGTCGGTGCGAGATTCGCCCCTATCTTCGAGTCCATGGTTGGACACTAGAACATGCATCTTGACATTTCGATCTTGTGTGCCGTCGTTGACAGAGTGCCGGCCATTATCGAAGATTGCCGGGCAGGTCCGGTGTTCAGAATGAGGCCCGCGAAGTAGGGACGAGATGAGAGCAGAAGGTGGGGGGAAACTTCTTTGTAAATAGCTCACACCGTAAGTCTCTTGACAATGAACACGTACGAAATCCGCGTTTGTCGGCGATGTCGTCCGAGTAGAGTGTTCCGCCGGGCTCCATCGGAGATTTCGTGGCATGATTCTTCGGAGACCGAAACCGGGGGCGGGCGAGGCCCCACCACCGCCCCTCATTCCAGCGTGATGTCACGGCGGGTCAGCCCGCAACATCGGGCGACTTCTTTTCCGCGTGGTTCTGCAACTCCGAGCTCTCCCAAGATTCTCTCCAAAATTCGCGCAGGAGAGTTTGTGATTTCCAGTCAGCATCTAATTTGAAAATGGCGACGACAAAGTACACCCTGGCCACCAGGCTTACTGTGAGTCCCGTCCTCAATACCTCACCATTTAATCACAACTATTGACCGCGAATAGCTGGCCAATGGCAAGACCATCCCTCAGATCCAGCTGGGTCTGTACTGCATGTCCGGCAAGGAAGCCACCAAGACCATTCCTTGGGCTCTGAACGCCGGCTACCGCGGATTCGACTGTGCGCAGATGTACCGCAATGAGCGCGAGTCTGGCAAGGCGATCAGCGACTACCTGTCCAGCAGCGAGAACGCCCAGGGCTTGAAGCGTGAGGATGTTTTCTACACGACCAAGCTCGCTAGCTGCAGCACTTCTTATGACGAGGTTCGCCGTTCCATCACGGAGTCCGTGAAAGTTTCCGGTCTAGGCTACGTCGATCTCTTCCTCCTCCACAGCCCGTACGGCGGCAAGGAGGCACGCTTGACCAGCTGGAAGGCCCTGGAGGATGCCATCACTGAGGGCGAGGTGAAGATGGGAGGTGTCAGCAACTACGGTTCTGCCCACGTAAGTCGCGCACTCGTCTTCGAGAGCAAGGTGAGACCTACAAAAAGAGTCGCACTGACATCGCTACAGATTGAGGAGCTCATGGCCTCCAAGCCCCGCATTGCCCCGGTCATCAACCAGATCGAGGTTCACCCCTTCAACACCCAGACCAAGATCAGGGAAACTTGCGCCAAGCACAACATCGCCATTGAGGCGTACGCGCCCCTGGCCCGCGGAATGCGCATGAAGCACCCCAAGATCTTGGAGCTGGCTCAGAAGTACGGCTGCAGCCCGGCTCAGCTGTTTGTGCGGTAAGTCATACCCCTTAGATCACATTTCCCCTATTATGCATGCTGATGAGCTTGTTTGCAGCTGGTCTCTCCAGCATGAGATGATCACTCTTCCCAAGAGTGTCCGCCAAGAGCGACTTATTGAGAACGCTAGTGTTGGAAACTTTGAGATTTCCAAGGAAGACCTGGCCGAGATGGACGGTCTTGATGAGAGACTTGTGACTGATTGGTGAGTTGCCCGAGCCTTCCATGGGAAACAAGACTAACACTAGTAGGGATCCCACTGAGGCCCCTTGAGAGATTGAACGGCCACTCATAGAACGCATGTTAGATGAAGATGTATTGAGCTCAAGCTGAATACAACGAGAAATGACCCCATGATTTGACCCCAAGCTCAGCTTACGGCAGTGGGCCAATGAGCATGCTGTGCAGCTGACGCCATGTGGACCGTCACCTATCTAGCATCTCTCTTAAAGCATCTACTTCGGCCTCCTTCCTCACAAGCTTGAGCCTTAACTGATCCCGCTCCTCCTCGACGTTCTTCAAAGCAGCCTCCAGCTCGGCGATGCGGTCCCTGCCCTTTTGACGGTATTTCCGAGCTGCCATGGTGTTACGTTGTCTTTTGGTCGCGGCCATGTCTTCATTACTGGCTGTGTCTCCTTGGTTATTGTCCACAGAATTGGCCTTTCGCTTCGATACCGACCCAGAAAAGGTTGTCGAATCCGTGACTTTAGGCGCCGGATCGCGTAGTTCCGGAAGAGCTGATAAGTGGTGATCATGAACCAGAGGATGATCAACTCTGTCTAATTTCTCTAGGGGGTCGTGTTGATAGTCATGTGGCTCAGGGCACTCGATGTACCGTGAGTCGTCGACGCGGATACATGAACCTGTAGTTCACTTGTCAGCATGTAATTTGGACACAAGCGATATTGGGGCTGATAGATCACTCACTCTGGGTTTGCTGTGCTGCAGAACAGTTGATCGCATTCAGTAACCCCAGAAGGCTATCTTCTTTGGTATCGCCAATCCCACCATTTGCCACATCATTAGCCGACTCCAAACTTGACTGCAAGCCCTCCGAATCGAGGCGAGGATCAAGAGGAATGTTCTCGGTGTACGGCGGGGCGTCACCCGTGGGATTTGAAGAGTCCTGCGACCATCCAAACATTGGTTCTAGGTTGTCGACAGTCGGCCACCATGTGCTTTGGCCAAGGGGGTTCAGGTTCCTTGGGCTGTTGTGGCTGGACGGGTTCCAGGCGGTATCGAGGCTCGAAGCGTACGACGGTGGACATTTGCGTCTCCATGAACTCAGGATTGGGTGCCTCTCCCTGTTGATGGAGAGGCTGGCTAAGAGGTATTGAGTGGGATTGATAAAGGGAGCCGGTAACGGCCAGATCGGGCTACCGTATTCGAAAACCTCAGAACAGAGGCGTGGATAGGAGCTTGTGAGGAGTTGGAGATGCCAACAGTTTTCCGTTTAGCTGAAGACGTGGTTTTCGCGAAGGGAGTGATCGCTCTGGTTGGCGGAGGCCAGTGAGTCACGATGGCTCATAATGATCCATGGCAGCGCATGGGCCATGCGGAGGAACATCGACATTGATTGTAATTGTTGAATTTTGAACTGGTGTAGTCTAACGAAAATCAGATCTGTTTCAGGCTGTACTGTCTGTAGGGTTGAATTATGGAATATCGCCGCAGTTCCAGTGGCTGAGGTTTCTCGAATTGAAGTTGCCTGGGCTAGTGAGACCATGTCCCTTCCACCTTGCCTCGCAAAGACCAAACTTCTAAGATGTTAATTAGACAAATTCTCACGTTCGCAAGCGTAATATGTCAAAATTCTGGCTGTTTGCATTTGCTAATTATCGACTTGATCCGATGAACGTGGGGTGCGCCATCGTTGGCTGAGCAAAGACAAACGAAGTTCCCTAGTCACCCTGGACATCTCTACAGATGTCCTTGGTGTAATCAAGTGAAGTTGATGTATCGCTGCATTCAGCTTAAGCTTAAGCTTTGATGTCATTCCCACTAAAGAATCGTATCTCAGTATTGGTGAAAACTGACGTAAAACCTCCAACCCTCAGACTGCTGTGTTGTTTCGCAAGATACACAAAGGTCACCAGCTCAAAGCCTCACACCGGATTGTTGTGCAGATTGGTTCGATGACAGATCTGGCTCTCATTATGCTGGCTGCCTTGCATTCTGTAAGAAATGTCAACTCGCCTTCGACGGTCAAAACCCTGGGTGGACTTCCCTCCTACATACCACCCCACCGGCACCCACTGTTAGTGCCGCGCTGGGACTGCCACCCTAGCACTAACACCACCAAACCCACCCCCCACGACCAGAACCCTCGCCCGCGATGGCCTCACAGCCAGCCGCGGGCCC